CGGATCACCGCACAGTTGTTTCTCCTCCTGAACCTATTTCATATTTTCTAGTAGCGAGCTCGAAATCCTTTTCTGCCAATTATACAGACCGCGACGTGCGCGGCATCCTAAAAATCGTATCATCTGTGACTACCTTTTATATAAGGTCACATTATCGTGACGTTCACCTTCAGTGCGTGAATCTTTGACAGTTCGGGTCGTTTTACAACGGCGAGGTTATCATTGCTGAACAAGGCTCGCCACGCCATCATCCATTCGAAGATCGAAAACGCCATCACGAGCTGGCAGCGGTAGATGATCGTGATAATGGCGCATCGTAGTCTGGCGTTCAGGCCGTTATTAGCAGCGTCGTCGATGCTTCTCACGCTTCTGCTCGGTTTGATTGTTTTTGGGCTTGAAGCGGAAGGAGGTCATGTGTGGGTTGACGTGTATATTGATGCAGCAGAGGTTTGCGATGGAAAGAACGATTGCCCTTTAAGGGATCATGTTGTCGGGGTTACCACACGAGCGGCCACTCCATTCGGCAGTTGGAGTTCGTTGGGCCGCTACGGGTCCTACCTGCGACTGTCTGACAACATCCCAATCAACCGGAGCATGAGTGGGGACTTCGTTCAGAGCAAGTGCTCAGGTAAGAGAAAATTGCTGGAATAGTGTGGAAGAAAATATCTTCATTGGTCACCCCTCGTTTGCTTCTTCTAGCATTTGTTCTCATATTGTTTGAGGCCCATTTACAAAGCTGGAAGAATTATAAAAGGCCGGCTAGCTTCTGCTCATTACTTGTTTTATTCCCTCCCTTACTCTTGGTGATTTTGTTTGCGCTGATTGCAGCCCTTGATGAATGGGCGAAGATCCAAGAAGACCCTGTGTCTGTTGCTGCAGCTACTGCTGTTGCTGCTACTACTGCGGCTACTTCTACCGCTTCTGCTACTGCAACGAAAGGTGGCAATTCCACTGCACAAGCTGCCAGCACTGTTACTGGGAGCGGAAACTTTACTACAGGAAACAATGGTCATGTTTCGCCTTCAAACACCACCTTGGAATCACCAGACACGTCTTCTAAGAGTGGGAGCCAATTGGAGAAGAACGGGAGGGCTGCCAGTGGAGAGAAGCAAGGGAGGGGAGTGAGTAAGCCGAGGAGGGAGACCCGAAAAGAGAAGAAGGCGAGAGAGAAGAGGGAGAGGCAGCAGGAAGCAAAGGACAGAGCTAGGAAGAAAAAGGAGGATGAAAAGAAGAGAAAGAAGGAAGAGGAGAGGAAGGCGAGGAAGGGAAAGGAGAAGGCGAAAAGGAAGGAGGCTGAGAGGGCGAGGAGGGAGGCGGAGAAGAGAAAGAGAAGGACAATGGCAAGGGGAAAATGGCGAGCAGGAGATTAAGCAAGTCACTGCCATCGGAAAAACAGGGGTAAGAACAAGAGAAAAGCTTTGATGGGCTATGAGGGATAGCATAACAAAGTTATGTTTCCTCTACCCGTTTGTAACGTAAAAACAGTAGCTTTATATATTGTTTGTGGCATGTAATGCTGTTGTGCAAACTATTTGAAGGCGTTTTGGGGGGTGCTGAGTCATTTTGAAAGTGTCTCTTGCATGGGAACAAGCAAACCACCCTGTCATATCTACTCAAAAACAGAATGGTTGATTTACATAAAGGCTTCCTACAAATGGGAGATATTATAAAAATCACCAACATAGCAAGCAAGCGTGGTTGTGGTGAAAAGGTAATAGCACTTGCTACAACACGATATCAAAAACCAGGTAATCAAGAGACCATACCGTACTATGTACAAAAGATAGTAGCCCAACAGTCAAGATAAGCATCTGGGAGGTTCCCTATATCTCCGTCATTGCACCGCTCTGTGTCCCTCTGCATCTATGCAACACCCCACCCTGTCATTGCCTTGTGCCATATTGCTTCTGTCTCCTCGTGCCCCCCACCCACCCCAGGCTCCACATGGAATTGGTGTGACTCCCATACAAGGGCGCGCCAGATCCCGTGTAGGAGATCGGAGGAGGAGAAAGAGGGCGGTTCACTGTCATTTAACCACCAGGTGTGTCTGCCGCCATGCGATTGCCTTGCGCCACATCGCCAATACGCTCGATCTCCCTTGCATGTGATGCCATGTGATGCCATGTGATGCCATGTGATGCCATGTTAATGCCATGTTAATGCCATGTTAATGCCACGGTAAAGCCATGTTAATGCCTTGTAAATACCATGTCATGCCATGTCATACCATATGCCTTGGCACAAAGTGCCAGGAATCCAAGAGGGAGACGGGACAAACAGTATTGGCCAGCTCTCTTCCCACCTGTTACCTCAGTAAGCGTCACTTGTCTCACGACTAACCCATTGTCGCCTGCTCTCGCCCCACATGTTACCCGAGTCACCAGCAGACTTTTGAGTCGAGTCAAAAGAATACGTCACTTGTCTCACGACTAACCCATTCTCGCCTGCTCTCGCACCACATGTTACCTGGGGCACCATCTGCTCGTGGCGCACAATCACTTTGGTGAGCATGTTAGGGGAAGAGGAGAGGCAAACGGCACTCGCCTGCTCTCATCCCGGTGCTCATCGCCGTTACATTACCTCAGGCACCACCTGCTCTCTCCCCAGTGATTACCACGCTGATGAGGAGGACCTCTTGACACACAAGTGCTGCGGTGAGCACGTTAGAGGGAGAGGCGAGGCTAACCATACTCTCTGCTCTCATCCCAGGCACCACCTGCTCTCTCCCCACCTGTTACCCCAGGCACCACCTGCTCCCTCCCCAGTGATTATCTCGGTGAACAGGAGGACTTCTTGGCACACAAGTGCTACCTGCTCCCCACCCAAGCATGTGGAAAGGGAGGCGAGAGGCGAACGGTGCGTGCCTGCACTCTCCCCAGTGATTACCTCAGTGACCAGGAGGACTTTTTGGCTCACAAGAGTGCGGCCATCTGGGAGGGAGTTATGAGCGGCCGGGATGAATGGGAGAGGAAAGAGGGGGAGGGGATTGGGGAGCAAGGGGGGAGAGGAGAGAGTGCAGAGGCTTGGAAAGGAGTGCTTGAGGGTTTTTGAGGCGCCTCAAAAGAGCGCTTGGTGAGTGGATGAAAGACGTGCTTTTGAGAGATAGGGACGAGGGGTTTGTGAGAGGAGGAAAATGAGAGAGGGCGAGAGAGGGGTGAAGATAGAGGAGAGAGGAGCACATGGGATGCATAGCATGAAACACAGAGCATGTAACCCAGAGCCATGCAAACCCTTCCCATTATCATTATTGTTACAATTACACCTCCTCTAAACATCACCCCACCGTCCATCACCCCTTCCCTAACTCGCACCTGCCAGTGGCTCGCTGCTCTCGTGCCGGCTCGCCTCCTGAAATTCAGGAGCTGTCACCAATAACGACGGAGAGGGATATGTGTCATGATGGCATGATGGTTCTGAAAAAAGAGAATCACGGAGCCAGCTCGACGCGTTGAAAGGCGTGAACGACATCATTGCATGATGGGGTGGTGGCATGATGCCATGCCATCATACCAGCGCATTGGCTCTCAGAACCAATGACAGAAAAGTAAATATACGCGACAATCCCGTCCCAATCGTCTATTCGCGTTTCACTTCAACTTCTGTCTCCCCTATCCCCTTCTTTTTCCCTTGACTCTTGCACTCCTTCCCTATCCCCTTCTTTTTCCCTTGACTCTTGCACTCCTTCCCTATCCCCTTCTTTTTGACCCTTGCACTCCTTCCCTATCCCCTTCTTTTTCCCTTGACTCTTGCACTCCTTCCCTATCCCCTTCTTTTTCCCTTGACTCTTGCACTCCTTCCCTATCCCCTTCTTTTTGACCCTTGCACTCCTTCCCTGTCCCCTTCTTTTTCCCTTGACTCTTGCACTCCTTCCTTATCCCCTTCTTTTTCCCTTGACTCTTGCACTCCTTCCCTATCCCCTTCTTTTTCCCTTGACTCTTGCACTCCTTCCCTATCCCCTTATTTTTCCCTTGACTCTTGCACTCCTTCCCTATCCCCTTCTTTTTCCCTTAACTCTTGCACTCCTTCCCTATCCCCTTCTTTTTCCCTTGACTCTTGCACTCCTTCCCTATCCCCTTCTCCTTTTCAACCTCGTTTCCTTCCCTATCTCCACTCGCTTCCTCCCAGACCCTTCCTCGAAACTTCCGCGCCGTATTCCCGCGCATCTCACCCTCGAGCGGGCGTCGCCTGCTCCTAAACACGCGGACCAACTCTTCGCGAACCCAGTCGAATCCTTCGCGAACATCGCCGATTTCGCCGGCTATGCTACTACCCTCCTCCCCGCACTCTACGCCGAGATCACCCGGAACCAAGTCTAGGCGGAACACTAAGCATACGCGGTCAGCGGCTGCAAGATTGCTTCGCTGCGACGTAATAATTGCCTCGCCTTGGTTTACCGCCGAGCCGCGCCGCTCGGGTCACTTGCACGTCAATCAGATGACACGGACTTGCCTCAGAGACATGCGCTGGAAAACCAATTCGTTCTGCTATGACTAAATTCCTTCTAAGGTTCACGGATGGGTTCTGTTGGCTATTTGAGGTGCGCTAATGGCGGCGATGCGGGTGGCACAATGAAGGCACGGTGAATGCGTCGCTTTGGTGACACTCCGTTTCTGTTATGGTGACAAAGTGTGTGAACATGTGATACAAATGTTAGTTCTCCTTTATAGGTAAATAGACAAATCCGCGTAATTGTGTAACAAAGTCCTCGGCGCCAGACTTCGAACTGAGAGCAGAAAGCCCTCGCACCGAGTACCACCATTCCTGACCTGCCTCGCGACATCAGGTAACGCTTCAGCGGAGAGTTAATGCAGGGAGGACGACATTCTGTATTTCGCCCACCGTTTGAATCGACCGTTGAATTTTGGCGGCAACACCATAAACTTTGGTCAAATCTGTTGAAACTTGGGTTCAACAGATAGACAAAGCTTCTCCGTTGGGTGGAAGTTTTTGGGTTGATGGCTCAGTTCAGTTCATTACAATTCGATTCTATTTGACGAGCCATGGACGAACATAGCAGCGACGCGCAATGCGCGGGTAATGGTCAGCGCGAGAAGCTGCTGGCGATGGCGAGCGTCGCCAGCAAAATGCAGGTCGCGTTCGGCGAAATGGCGTCAGTTTGTCGGCTCGCTGCAGGTCCGTGCCAGTAGTCGCACAATCGCAGAAATCGTCGCACGGGTTTCGCGCGGCTGCTTTCACTGCTGGCAAATGTCGTCATCGTGTCCTGCTTGAGCGGCATTCGCGCTGTGTTTTTCTTTTCTTTTTTTCTCCGATATGCTTTTTTTTTCGGCCCATTGTCGTTCGTTCGCGGAATCTTCATCCCGCATTCACTTGACGTATCTTAGCTCGGCCAGATCTAACAGACATTCAACCTTGCAGCCATGTTTCCGTTTGGATCGCCTATTCGCTCGTAATGCGCTTCAAACTTCTGACAAACGAAGAACCGTACAGCCATTTTCCCCGTTGTTCTTAGACTTTACGTTCTCGTGACCAGCTGCCTATCGGATCGGCTACGTTGCGTCCCTTCCCCCTTTCCCCCATTCCACCCCCACCACCCTTGGCTCCTCCCCCAACACCACCCTCTTCCTCCGCCCGCCATCCTTTCCTTATCCTCCGCGCCCTCCTCCCTTCCCCACCCCTCCCCCATCCCCTCCCCCTCCTCCACCCACCTCCCTCCCAGCCGGCGTGTGCGTACCAACGGACAATCTGCCTCTGCGCCAGCTCGCCTTTTGGGACCCCTCAAAACCCTAATCTCCCGAACCCTCAACCTCCGAACCCTCAACCCCCAAAACCTTTAACCCCCGAACCCTCAACCCCCCCACCCCCCTCCTTCCAGCCGGCGAGCGCGTACCGACGGACAATCTGCTGCTGCGCCAGCTCGCATATTGGGACTTCTCAACCCCAAAACCATCAACCTTCAAACCCTTCAGCCCCCCCACTCCCTCTCCCCATCCTCTCCGCGCAACCGGCAAGCGTGCGCCGATGGACAATCTGCTACTGCGCCCACTCGACTTGTGAGACGTCTCAACCCCCAAATCCTCCCCACCCCTTTCTCCCCAACGTTCTTCTCCCCCCTCCCCCTGCTCTCTCTCCTCCTCCAACCCCCCCTCACCACTCCCCATCTTCCCCCAGCCGGCGTGCGCGTGCCGACGGAGAACCTCCTGCCGTTCCAGCTCGACTTTAGAGACTTCTCAACCCCAGACCCCTCCCCTCCCTCCCCCCTCCCTCCGCCCACACACTCCCTCAACCCACCCGGCGTGCGCGAGCCGACAGGAAACCTCCTCGTTTTTTTAGACGCCTCAAGTCAACCCCGAACCCCTCCCCAACCCTCACCCCTCCACCCCTCCCCTCTCCCTCCCTACAGCTGGCGTGCATGTGCCCATGGACAAACTCCTTCTGTTCTAGCTCGCCTTTTGAGACGTCTCAATTCAACCCCTAAACCCTCTCCTCCCCCCCTTCCCCATTCCCTCCCACCCTACAGCCGGTGTGCACGTGCCCATGGACAAACTCCTGCTGTTCCAGCTCACTGCTCCCCTCTTCGACCCTCTTCGCCTCGCAGCCCTGCAATCCACACCTTCAACCGCTCCCGGAGCTGCGCCCGCCGCCGCGCCTGCTCCCGCCGTCCCCGATCAGCCGCCCATCCCGATCCTGGATTACGCCAGTGTTGCTGCTGCTGGCGCACGAGAAGAGGAGAGGAGAGAGGAGAGAGAAGAGGAGATGAGAGAGGAGAGAGAAGAGGAGAGGAGAGAGGAGAGAAAAGAGGGAGACGAGCGAGAGGAAGGAGTAGAAGGAGAGGAAGGAGAGGACGAGGCAGTGGGATTGGAGGGTACTGAGCAGGCAGAGGAGACAAGGGATCGCAGGGATGAGGAGGACGAGCAAGGCGAGCAGGACAAGAGTGGAGGAGGCAAGGGGGAAGAATGCACCAATGCGGCTGTGAGTGCAGGTGATGGGAAGGACGTGGGCGGCAGTACTGATGTGCCCCTGGGTGGTGCTGATGAGGCAGAGGCGAGGAGAAGAGTCAGCGAGACCGTCAGGCAAGATAATGAGGACACGGGTGGTGATGCTGCTGACGGCAAGCGCTCAAAGCGGAGGAGGGTGAAGAAAGTGCTGTGATGTGCATACCACGAAGAGATTGCAGGTTTAGGAATTTGGTTTAAAGTGGATGTTAGAATTTGTGTAGCTTTAGGTGTGTACTGTACAAAACAATATTCAAGCTTGAGATTTGAATCTACTCTTTAGGGTGCGTCAGATCCGTTGTTGGAAAAATCCAGCCGGCCGGAATCAGCGAAGGTAACACATTCGCGACATCCGCAAAGATTTTCGGAGAGTTCGCCAAATCCGGCCATTTGTAAAAAAAATTGATGGCCGGTTCAGCATGTTGGGCTGAAACGCCCTAGGATCTTTAGTAGAGTTAAAGTCTGAGTAAATGATCTAGTAGCGGAAGCGTTTGAATAAAGTCCTTGAACCACCTTGCGCTAGTATGTGAGAGCAAAGTAAGTTAATTAAAGCAAAGAGATACAAGAATATATATATGAGTACAGAGAATATGAAGAGACATAGTCGTAACTGTTTTACTGTTGCGGTTCGATACAGTGCGACTCGGGCAACTGCTCAATGTCGAGTCAGTTGTGTGTCCTTGCTGTCGCGCTGTGTCAGGTCAAAGATCGCTGACCTTTGACTTTCTCGTAACCTCCAGCGGTTACGTTAACCTCCGAGGGTTGACTCGCGGTGCTTCGATTTGAGCTGCTTCGCTTTGAGTTTCGACACGACAGAGGCGCTTAAGACTATTTGTTCCCAACACTCCCCTTCGCTTGTGGAGTGTCGCTGATGGTGACGTGGCTTTGTCCTGTCAGCAGCATGCAGTACTCGAACTTTTGTTTTCCGAGCTTCTTGGTCAAGTAGTCAGCTGCCATCTCAGACGTGGGACAGTAGGATGATTTGAGTTTCCCTTTCTCGATCTCGTCTTTCACGAAGAAATATCGCAGGGCGATATGCTTCGTTCTGTTCGCGAATCCGCTCTTGTTGGCGATGCGAATCGCAGATTGGTTGTCGCAGAACAGAGTGAAGTTGGGTAACTCGGCTAACTTCGCTTCTTCCAGCAGCTCGCGAAGATAGAGTCCTTCCTTGGTGGCTGAGCAGAGGGCGATATATTCTGCTTCAGCTGAAGAGAGAGCGATTAGTTTCTGCTTGCTCGATTGCCAGGAGATAGGTCCGATAGGTTCGAGGCGGTAGATGTAGCCAGTGCGGGAGCGCCTGTTGTCTGAATCGCCGGCGTGATCGGCATCGACGTAGCCGATTAGTTTCGTCGGTGTAGTTTTATTCTTGTAGTATGCCAGGCCGATCGTCGAGGTACTCACGAAGTAGTGTAGTGCGCGGTCGAGCTCCGCCAGGTGTTCTGTTTCGGGTCTCTTGAGGTAGGTGGCGAATTGACTTGCGGAGTAGGACAGATCTGGTCGGCAGGTGACGGCTGCAAAGAGAAGGCAGCCCAGCTTTCTCTGGTAGTCGCGTATTCCGGCGGTTTTGAGTAGAGCGGAACTTCCCTTGTCGTTCCCTGCCGTGTAGCGGTATGGCGTGGAGATAGTGGTAGGTGTGAGCGAGAAGCGTTTGGCGATAGTGTCGGCATATTTTTCAGCGCTGAGGTAGATCGCGTTCTCTTTTTCGCGGATGTTGAGTCCGAGGTACTGAGTGACGGTAGAGGAGACCGTGAGTGTGAGGTCCCTCTGCAGCTCCCCCTCGAACCAGGTGGTGATGTCGTCTGTGGACCCAATGTAGAGTAGGTCATCGACGTAGACGATCAGCAGGATATAGTCGGCGTTTTTGGTGAGTCGATACATCCCTTGGTTGTGAGGCAGTTGGCGGAATCCGATGCGAGTGAGGCGAGTGTGTAGGTGCTGTTGCCACAGCCGCGGGGCTTGTTTGATTCCGTAGAGCGATTTTAGCAGCTGGCAAACTTGGTTAGGTTCCCCGTGGGTACCGTGTGGGAGCTCGACGAAGATTTCGGCGTCGACGGGTGTGTAGAGGAATGCGTGTCAAATTATAATGTTGTGTAGGCTCTAGTGGGGTAGCCCATATGGGGTACACAATTCTAGGGTTGCATACTTGTATCACTTTCATTCCTTAGTCATTCATTCTTCGTTCTACTTTTCTCATGGTATTGAGCAGGTTCCCCCGTGGGAACTGTGCCTAAGGCCCACCACATCGATTTTTATTTCCTGCCCGAAGCGCGCTCGGCCTGAGTTGCGCTCCGGGCCCTCTCTCGCTTTGTCGAGCCACCCTAGAGGCCCCGCCGCCCGTCGATTAGGCCCCGCCCCCTCACACTGAGGCCCCACCGCCACTCGTCGCGGCCCCGCCGCCTCTCTCGACGCGGCCCCGCCGCCCTTCGTCGCGGCCCTGCCGCCCTTCGTCGCGGCCCCCGCCGCCCTTCGTCGCGGCCCTGCCGCCCTTCGTCGCGGCCCCGCCACCCCTCGTCGCGGCCCCGCCGCCTCTCTCGTCGCAGCCCTGCCGCCCTTCGTCGTGGCCCCGCCACCCCTCGTCGCGGCCCCCGCCGCCTCTGTCGTTGCGGCCCTGCCGCCCTTCGTCGCGGCCCCTGCCGCCCTTCGTCGCGGCCCCCCCACCCTTCGTCGCGGCCCCGCCGCCTCTCTCAACGCGGCCCCGCCGCCTCTCTCGACGCGGCCCCGCCGCCCTTCTTAGCGGCCCCGCCGCCCTTCTTAGCGGCCCTGCCGCCCTTCGTCGCGGCCCCCTCCCGCCCTTCGTCGCGGCCCTGCCGCCCTTCGTCGCGGCCCCTGCAGCCCTTCGTCGCGGCCCCGCCGCCCTTCGTCCCGGCCCCGCCACCATTCTCTGCGGCCCCGCCGCCTCTACCACCGCGGCCCCGCCACCATTCTCCACCGCGGCCCCGCCACCTCCCTTGCGGCCCCGCCACCCTGCACCGCCTGAGCTGCTCGAGCCGCCTGAGCCGCTGAGGAGCCGAGCCGCCCGAGCCGCCTGTGCCGCTGAGGACCCGAGCCGCCCGAGCCGCCCGAGCCGCCCGAGCCACCCGAGCCGCCTGAGCCGCCTGAGCCGCCTAAGCCGCCCGAGCCGCCCGAGCCGCCTGAGGAGCCGAGTCGCTTGTATTGCAGAGCTGCTGTTGCTGCTGGGCCGTCCGAGCAGCAGTGTTGCCGTGTTGCGGTGCTGCTGAGCTGCCCAAACCGCCCTGTCTGGTGAGAGCAGCACTTCTGTCACTGCACTGCCCCTGTCCTATAGTCAGTGTTGCTAGTCTACTGCTGTCATGGTTACCCCTAGTGTCCTAGCTTTTGACGCTGAGGGTCGCGCCATTGACTTTGAGGTCTGGGTCGACGACCTGCAGCTGTTCTTACAGTGCGATAGGGCAGACGGCCTTTCTCTCTTTGACCTCACCTCTGGCGCCTCCCCTGCCCCTGCTGCTGATGCTGACCCTACTATTCGCTCCCAGTGGGCCACGCGCGATGCTGCTGCACGTCTTGCTGTGCGTCGCCACCTCCCTACCTCTGAGCGTGCGCACTTTAGTCAGTACAAGAGTGCTCAGACCTTGTACGACGCTGTAGTTCCACGCTACTCCTCCCATGCCACTGCTGCACTGAGCCGTCTCATGCTACCGTACCTCTTCCCTGACCTTGCTGCCTTTCCCACAGTCGCTGACCTCATTACGCACCTCCGCACTAGTGACACTCGCTACCGCGCTGCGCTTCCTACTGACTTATGCGCCAAGAACCCCCCCCCCCATGTACATCACTCTCTACTTCATAGTCACTCGTCTCCCTGACTCCCTTCGTGTAGTCAGGGACCACTTCCTCTCAGTCTGTCCCACCACTCTCACTGTAGACCTCCTCGAGAAGTCCCTACTAGCGGCCGAGAAGAGCATAGTCGCTGTAGGGGCCTCTCGTGGTGACCCTCGCACCCCCATCTTAAAGGGGTGTTCTCCTTCCCCCCTTTTGCCCTCTGTCGCCTCTGCCGCTGCGGCCGACATTGTTGGTCTTGAGTCGGTCGGTGCGGCGTCTGCCCCTAGCGGGAGACGCCGCCCTGGCAAGGGCAAGGGGGGCAAGGGCGCGGGTGGAGCTAGCGGGGGCGGTGGAGGTGGAGGTGGAGGCGGCGGAGGGAGTGGGGGTGGCGGTGGGAGTGGTGGCGGGGGTGGAGGTGTCGGTGGCAGCAGTGGAGGTGGAGGCGGTGAAGGCGGCGGCGGTACTGGCGGAGGCGGCGGTGGTGGAGGAGGTGGAGGAGGCGGTGGTGGAGGTGGTGGAGGTGGTCGGGGTGGCGCTTCGCAGCGGAGCAGCACTGGTGGTGGTCAGCGCCAGCAGCAGCAGCAGCAGCAGCGTTCTCGTGACATCCCCCCCCCTCAGCAGCTCCGTGAGTGGTACACGCAGCGTCAGCGTGGTGGGGGCTTTAGTCCCTGCACCTACGTCCTTCGCACCGGCGACCGCGCTGGTGCGGAGTGTGGGGGTGCCCACCCCACCCAGCGCTGCTTTGGCCGCCTGACGGACGCTTGGCCTCAGCAGTTCCCGGAGGCCAGTGAGATCCCCCGCTGGGGAGAGCTGTCTATGGCAGGCGTAGTTATCTATGATCTTGACTTTGATGCTATCCTTGCTGCAATGTATGATGTGACTATTAGTGATGAGGGTGACTGTTACCGGTGTTTCCCGCCCAACCCGGGCATTGGTACTACTCCTCTAGGTGCTGGTGAGGCTGCTACTCTAGGTGCCAGTGCGTTTGCGCCCTCAGGTACTGGCGAGTCTGCGCTCTCAGGTACTACGTCGGCTTCGGCCTCCCTCACCTTCACCCTTGACTCTGGGGCTTCTCGCTCCTTCTTTCGGGACCGCACCTCACTCACGCCGCTTAGTCGGCCTGTTGCGGTGTCTCTTGCTGACCCCTCTGGGGGTCTTGTCCTGTCTCGCTTCTCCACAGTCCTCCCGTGTCCGGCGGCTCCCTCTGGCACCCTGTCTGGTCTCTACCTCCCCTCGTTCTCTACGAACCTGGTGAGTGGTGCTGACCTCCAGGATGCGGGGGTCCACCAGTTCACTCCTGCGCGCCAGCGGGTGACGCACTGCACAGAGGCTAGCACAGGCCGACACCTGGCTACGTTTACCCGTCAGACGGGGTCGAGC